CTATTAACTCTGAATATGTAGGAGCCACATCTGCTTCAGCCTTCTCCAAAGAAACCTGCAATTTCAAAGCCATGTTGAGAGGGCTTTTAAGAAGTCGCTATGCTCCCCGTGGGAACTTCTTGGGAAGAGCTCACACTCACAACACCATTCATTTGTGTGCACTCATAATCCCAAACTCCTCCATCAGTCCCAGAGGAAGGGGATCTCCCAGAGCAGAAATGTTTTCTCACCACGATCCTTCACATTCTTCTGGGTGATCCACCAGCTAGATACAACAATTATTTCCTCTCCATGATGCTTCCAGAAAACGATATCCACTGCAATGGCTTTTTTTTTTTCCTGGGTGTAATACAGATCGTTCTTAGGCTTTGTTTAGTAAGTCAGAATGGTATAAAAAGCTCAGCTTTGCAAACAATCCTTGAATTTACAACCCAGGGATGAAACCCTCCCAGTTCAGCCCTGTTTAGTCGAGCCGGCAGGGATGATTGGCATCAGTTCTCCGAACTGGTGACAAAAAATATCTGGTGGCCCCCACCCACGCCCTCCTGTCACCGTTCACCTCTTCCTGCCACTCGACCTACCCACCCAATCCGAACGTTTCTCCCTCCATTCACGGCAGCTACAGCCTGTCCCTTTAAGATAGTCCCTGGGTGGGAGGGGGCTGATAGGACCATAAAGGGAGCAGAAGCTGTTCTGTGAAAGGAGTGAAAAATGTTTGGATTGTCTCTCCCGCAGAATTCAATTTTTTATTTATTTATTTATTTTCAAAACAAACATATATTGTAGAAAGTATATCAGCTGGTTACAAAAAGCTTTTGTGCATCTCTTCCACCGTNGCTATTGCTATTGCTAAATCTTCATGAGACTTTAAGTATCATTTCATCAGTTAAATCCCCACAACTCTAAAATTGCCTCAGAAGGTTTGATTATAACCATTTTGGGACAGAGAAAGAGAGAGAGTGTGTGTGTGTGTGTGTCTTTACATTTCTGTCTGTCTGTATATATCTGTAATTCTTAAATCTATCCCCAGCACCAGATATATTTCATAATCACCTTTTGCAGTGATAAGATTTTTTCCCCACACATATTTTATCAGTTTAACAACATATAAAATACAGAAATATAAAGAAAAATGAAAATAATTGCAAAATAAGGGAGGAACAGGGGAAGAGAGAAAAATATAGGATTAAGGGAAAAAGAAAAAAAGTATTGACTTCTGACTCCTTTTAGTGCAGTAGAATAAGGTACTAATATAAAACCTCAACTTTTTAGTTTTATACAATAATGTATACTAGCCATTTCTATAACAACAAACTTACTGTATCTAATAAAAAAAATCCTAAAATTAGAGTTTCATTTTTTCTACCTCAAGGACAAAATCCAAAAGCAGTTTCCACATAAAGTCAAAATTAATTGTGTTCTTTTCTTTAATCAGAGCAGTCGTTTATCCATCTCTGTTAACTCCGTCAACTTTTGCAACCATTTATCCATTGTGGGAATCAAAGTATCCTTCTATTTTTGTGCATAAAGTATTCTTGTTGCTGTTAACATAGATAACATCAAAGTTGCATTTTTTCCCAACTTCTTCATCCCTTAAGCCTAAAAGAAAACTCTCTGTTTTTATCTTTATGCTCACTTTAAGAATCTTCTGTATTAGGATGTGAATCCTACTCCAATTTTTCTTAGCTTTGTCCACCATAAATGATAAGGTAATATAGAATAATGGAAGGGATCTTGGAAGTCATCTAGTCCAAATCCTGCTCGCGCGTAGGAGAGACTATTTCAGACAAATGGCTCTCCAGTCTCTTCTTAAAAGCTTTCAGTGATGAAGTACACACAACTTCTGAAGGCAAGTTGTTCACTGGTTAATAGTTATCACCATTAAGAAGTTTTTCTTTAATTCCAGATTGCCTCTTTCTTTGATTGATTTCCAACCATTTCTTCTTGTCTTCTGGTACTTTGGAAAATAGTTTACCCCCTCATCTTTGTGTCAGCACCTGAAATACTGAAACACTGCTATAATATCTCGCCAGTCCTTCTTTTCATAGGCTAGACTTAATCAATCCCTGCAATCATTCTTCATATGTTCTAGTCTCTAGTCGCCTAATTATATTTGTTGCTCTTCTCTACTTTTTCCAGAGTCTCAAAATCTGTTTTATATTGTCGTGACCAAAACTGAATGCAGCATTCCAAGTGTGGCTTTTCTAAGGCTTTGTACGATAAGATTTGTTTGGCATCATCTGTTTTTGACAAACCTATGTTGGCTTCTGGTTATAACTTGGTTTGCTTTTAGGTGCTTGCAGATTTGTTGCTTGATTATTTTTTCCCAAGATTTTCCCTAATAATGATGTCAGGCTGATGGGTTGATAGTTTTCTGGATTTTTTTTTTCAGGATCCAATCTGGGTCAGTCATTGAGACCAGAGGTTTTATCTTCCAAACTTTCAGATCCATGCTAGAGCCCATCTTCAGGGAACATCTCTCCAGCAGAGTGTTTTTTTTTTGTTTTTTTTTTGAAAATCCTCATCAACTGGTAGTTTCCCAGTGCTCCAAGAACTTTGAAAGATGTAGTTCAGAGTTTTTGAGATCAAGTCTGCCAGTTCCTTCAGTACTTTGGAATGTAATCCATTAGGATCTGGGCATTTGAATCTATCCAGAGCTGACAGGTGTTCTCTTACCTTATTTTTGCTTATATTAATTCGATTTTCTAGCCTGCCTGTTACGCTTTTGTTTTTGATAAGTTGATTTGTATTTTCTTTTGAGTGAAGACAGATGCAAACAATGAATTAAGCAGTTCTGCCTTCTCTCTACTGCCCCTTATTTACTTGCCATTCATTCATTCATTCATTCATTCATTCATTCATTCATTCATTCATTCATTCATTCATTTATTATATTTATATGCTGCTCTTTTCCCCCGAAGGGGACTCAGAGCGGCTAACAAATCAAATCAGGGAAGGGGGGGGGGTACAGACAAAAAATAAAAAATAAACGATACATAACAATACATAATTTAAAAACACACAACAGTCATACCATTCAAGACGGGGGCAACAGCTCTTTAGCCCCAGGCCTGNTTTCTTCCTTTCTGGTGGAACCTCTTCTAACCGATTCGGTAGATTTGACGAACCAGTTCTACCGAACTGGTGCGAACTGGTAGGAACCCACCTCTGCAGCAGGCAATCCAAACCTTTCTTTGTTCACAGCAGAGCTGCTGCTCCCTTTATGGTCCCTCTCGGCCCCCTCTCTCCCAGGAACTATCTTAAAGGGACAGGCTGCAGCAGCTCTGCTGTGAACAGAGAGAAATATTTGGATTGTCTCTACACAGAAGTCAACATTAAATACAGCAGAGACAATCCAAACATTTCTCCTTCCATTCACAGCAGAGCTGCTGCAGCCTGTCCCTTTAGGACCCTCAGGAGGGAGGGAGCAGCAGCTCCACTGTGAATGGATTCATACACACATTTTTCTCAACCTGGTTCTGTGGGTGTGGCTTGGTGGCGGTGGTGACGTGATTGAGTGGGTGTGGCCATGAGTGACATTGAGTTGGCCACGCCCATTTAGTCACAGAACACCACCACCAAGCCATGTCCACAGAACCAGTAGTAAAAAAAATTTGAATTTCACCACTGTTACAAACCATCATTGGTATGCTTCTCTGAGGAATGGACTTCAAGTCAGGATTTGTTTGGTTTAACATTTTTATTGAATTATAAGATAAAGCAAGATCTAAAATACAAAAGTAGAAAGGAAAATGGTGGGGAGAAAGAGGGGGAAGAGAAGTGAGGAAGGATAAGGAAAAAGAAAGAAAAAGAAACAGACTCTGTTGCAGTAAAATAAGGCATTAACATCAAATCACAACTTTTTGCTTTTTCTTAATAATATGAACGTCATTTCTATAAAGATCTGCCAATTTAATTGAAAAAACCTAAAATAAAAGTTTCATTTTTTTCCACTTGAAACACAAAGCTCAAAAGTGGTCTCCATATGGAAACAAAAGTACTTATATTCTTTAATCAAACTAGTCAATTTTGCCATTTCAGCCAACTCAATCAACTTCTGCAACCATACATCCATGGTACAATTACTTGATAAAAAGAACATTGGAAAGCACAACTGTACGGGGGTCTATTTTCAATGTTGTGTTCTATATCTTTATTTTCTATCATTTTTGTTTTGTATATTTTATTACTTTAAAATTACAAATTAGGAAAAAAAATAGGCATTTCCAACCAAGAGAATGACAACCTTTCATAGGTTTTTGCATGTGCTAAGCTGAATTTTTACTCAGTAAATTGGAAAGACTGCTCTAGCCAGATTCAGCCTCCCCAATAATACAGACAGGGAACTAATATTGCACATTCTGTTATTCTAACAACATCCAAGAGCAAGTGTCCATCATTTAGGGATTCTGCACATAAATAAGTGCTTCATGAGCTTTTACAGCCCAGAATCTAGTTAATTTTGTGTAAGGGGGGGAACAGGGGGGCATGGGGTGGCAGTGCTTGTCTTTCTATTGGGAGTGTCCCTAAGTCTGTGGTGCCAAAACTACTTGATGCCACTTCCTAATAGTGAGAAAAATTAATTAAGTGGAACGACTTGCCTCCAGAAATTGTGGATTCTCCAACACTGGAGGTTTTTAAGAAGAGATTGGACAGCCACTTGTCTGGAATGGGGGCTAGAGTAGAAGACCGCCAAGGTCCCTTCCAACAAATTCCTATTCTATTCTATTCTATTCTATTCTATTCTATTCTATTCTTTGTTATTCTGTTAACATAATCAAAAAAAAATCTTGCAACCGCCTTAGGTAGAGACGGAACAACCTGGTTTTCAGCTTTATGTCGCTAGATGGCGCACTATAGATAAGCAAAGCCCGCGCTAGACTACAAATATAGAGCATTGGTAATGGAGGCCAAAGGAGTTGAAACATCCGAATATTAGATTGCTAGAGAGGACTTGGAGGAGAACAGTAGAGGAACTTCCTTTTCCGGCTCTCCGCTGAGAAAATTGAGGCGCGGAGGGCGGCTCTCCTGGTCTTCCCTGGGTCGAAGTAGCAGCTGAAAGGTGAGTTGAGGAAGGTGGAGGAGAGGCCGGAAGCAAGTGGGGCTTTTTGGTTTCCCCCCTGATGTAAAAGCAGAGCTGAAACATGTCAGCTGTTACATATTCCTCCCTTCCCCGGATTTTATTCCACTGGTGGTTCATGCTTTAAAACTGGTGCATGCAAGTTTTTGCTTGTTGGGAGAGTTAAAGAACCTCCTCCCTGTTAGGGTTGAGTCCTTGTAATTTCATGGGCGTGTTCTTTTCTTGGCAGCAATTTGGAACCGATCTGCCAGGGCTGCCTTCAGGGATTTTTACTTCCATATCTAGCAAACAAACACGGGATTCCCTGGTGGTGCTCCATCCATGGATTAATGTTACATAACTGTGCTTATCCCAGGACTTATTTTAAAATATCTACTGAGCACGATTTGGGGATGTTCAGATTTATAGATGGTCCTCAAATACCTCTGAGCACTGAGCTTTCAAAGTTACAGTGGTGCTGAAAAAGAAGACTTTCAACTTTTCCTCAAAGTTGCGACCATCACAGTTACTTGGGGTGGCACTGGCTTGCGTTTATGAGAGTTGCAGTGTCATGGACTCACCGTTTAGAATCTTCACAATTGGCTTCCAACAAACCAAATCATTTGGAAATTGGCAGGAAGTTGCAAGTCACAGTGATGTTACTTTGCTCTGAGCAGACCACAGTGATTTGCTTAATAACTTCAGCCAGGAAGGATGTTGTGAGTTGGCATGGTTAAGTGATGTCACACTTAACAATCACACCATTTAGGAATGGATATGCAGGTCCAATGGCTTTTGGTAAGCGAGGATTGCCTGAATCGGGATGTCACCAGTATGGTTGAGGGCAGTATTTCTTGCCTTTTTCTTATTTGGAGTAGTGGGACTTCCAAAAATTGTCCTTTAAATCTTGCCGAGACTCTTAGGATCATTTCATAAATGAAGCCTTACCCTGTCTCTCTAAAATTAGATTAAAAAGTGTGAGTGCACCCACATGTATGTGTATATGTGTAATCTGTCCCCAGTACTTCCAGATATATATGTTGATAACCCTTTCTATTAATTTGTGATTGACATAAGTCAACAAGTAAATTTCATGATTGAATATTTGAACTTGGATCTCACTAGACCTGTATGTTGAAAATGAATGACAATTAATGTAAGAGGTTAACATTGTGGTGTTTTTTATTGCAATGTATGCTTTTTTCTCATTTTTGCACATTTGAGCAGCCATTTTATAAATCATAATTATATTAACTCTTTTATGTGAATTGAAAGAATGTCAAAGAGAGCACTGGGGAGGACTGAGAATCACAGGCAGCATTAAAATGGAAAGCAAACCAAGGCAGCACTTACAATCTTAAGCTCCTGCAGAAAAGCTACAAAACTCTTCTTCTTCCCCAGCAGGTGACAGACAAGGGAGAGAAAACTCCTGCTAAGAAAGAAAGTTACTGAGTCCTACTCAACTTTATGTTTCTTTCCACAGTTGATAAGTGAATCACTGCAGTTGTTAACTTAGTAACACACTTGTAAAGTGAATCTGGCTTTCTCATTGTCTTTTCTTATCAGAAGGTAGCAAAAGGTGAACTGCATCTACATGGAGGGAAGCATGCAGCGGGGACACCCCAAGGCTCTATCTTACGCTCAGTACTCTTCAACATACATGATTTTGGTGAAGGGATAGAAGGGGAGCTTACCAATTTGGAGACAACAGAAGGATCTTAACAGGCTTAAACATTGGGTCCTTTCCAGCACAATGTAATTCAGCGGTGAGAAAAATAAAGTTTTACACTTAAATGCACAACAAGAAGTTGTATTTGGCTCAACAACAGTATCTGTGAGAGAGATCTAGGAGTTCCAGTGCACAATTGCCCCAACTATGAACTAGCAGTGTGCTGCAGCTGCAGAGAAGGTCAATACAGTCTTAGCCTGCATCAACAGAAGGATAGAATCAAGATCATATGAAATATCAGTACTGCATGTACTGTACTGGTAAGTGTACACCTGGAATATTGTGTCCAGTTTTGCTCACCATGATAAAAAAAGAGATGAGAATCTAGAAAGAGTGCAGAAAAAAAGCCACACAAAAAGATTAAGGACTGAATGCTGAAATATAGAATGAGTAGGGCTAGGGGTGACATGATAGCAATATTTCAATATTTGAGGGGCTGACACATTTGAGCGGGTCGTCCTATTATCCAGAGCACCTGAGAGCAGGACAAGAAGTAACAGGTGGAGACTTATCAAAAAGAGATCCAACCTAGAAACAAGGAGAAATCTCCTTTCAGTGAGAACAATTAATGAACAGCTTGAGAGACCGCCTGCTGCCAATTACCTCCACTAGACCGATCAGATCCCACAGATTAGGCCTCCTCCGAATTCCATCCGCCGGCCAGTGTCGACTGGCGACTACTCGGAGGAGAGCCTTCTCTGTGGCTGCTCCGACCCTCTGGAACGAACTCCCCGTGGAGATTCGAACCCTCACCACCCTCCAGGCCTTGCCCTTAAAACCTGGCTGTTCCGACAGGCCTGGGGCTAAAGAGCTGTTGCCCCTGTCTCGAATGGTATGACTATGTTTTTAAATTA